TATAAACTTATTTTGACGTTCGTCTTTTATTTTTTTTTAATCCCGTTGGCTGGGTAAAAACGTTTTTTTTTCCTGAATTTTATTAAAAAAAAAAAATTGTTATACTTATATGATAAACGATACTTTTAAATTCAAAATTTTCTAATGTTAAAAATTCAATTTCATTACTGATGCACAATTCATAAATTCGATTTTCTTTATTTTGCGATAACGTTTACGCGTACAACGTACGTCCTAAAAAAAATGTTTTTAGAAGCAAAAGGATAAATGAAAAGTTTTAAAAGCTTACATGTGTGTTCACACGCATATATACATTACTGTCGTGGCACCTATATATGATTTCAGACATTTTGATGTCTCCGCAATTTCACCAAAAAATTTATTTATGACCTATGCATCGTAATAAGGTTAAAAAAAAAGTAAAATGAAATTTCAGATCAATGCCGCTGCTGTAAAGCTCAAAGGAGAAGTAAAAGTCAGAAATTTTTTTAATAAATTTATCATCACTTGAAATCAGTATATAATAAGAAATTTTATATGTGTGTGCAAATATTGAATTGAAAAAACTTATGAATTCGAATATCAATACCGAACCATGTTTGCCGATAAATTTGTAAAGTAACAGATTTTACCTGAACAAGTGAAAATACGTTTTATGAAAACAATGTTTATATTCAAATTATTTGAATTATATGCGGTAATAAATCATTGCACACTTTTGGGATGAAAAATTACATTGGACTGATTCATTGCTGTGTAATTTGAAATGCGTAGGAATAAGTGTTTGCTTGTGATGAGCTTATACGCAGTATCTACTCAAGTGTAATGCTCTGTGATAAATTCTTAAAATTTAAGATAAAAGTGTGTCTGTTCTAAATATGTATGTGGCTTTAGAATTAATTCACAAATAAGAGAAATTTAAAGAGTTTAAGTTATTGAACCTTTTATTTAAAATCCTTCAATAGTTAAGTAGCGTAATTATGAATTTTAAAATTATATTTGTTGTTATGCATTTCACACGTTCTATAAATTTCAGTGTAGATTAAATGAAATTCAAATTTACTTAAGTATTAGACATCAAAATTAAATGGACGGTGATTATTTTGTATTCAACATGAAATATCTTATATAAACTTTTACATATACGCGTTCATACTACTCGTACATATACACTTTTTTATTAGGATTTTTTCTTAAAAATGTGCCAAATTTACGATATTTTTATAATATACTAAAGATGATTCTTACCTTTTATTTTTAAGGTCTTAGTTAAGATGAATAAACGTTAAAAGTATTAAAGTGAATTTTCTTTTCTTTTGTTCAAGGTTATTTGCAAATCGTTGTTTTGCTAATGGTTTTTGCTGGTTGCTGTTACAGTGTTATTCGTTTAAAAATGTCTCAAAGGAATGATTAATTTATGTCTATTATATTTCTTGCTATATCACACTTTCTCTTTTATATATAATATATGTATACATTATATACATATATAATATATGTATACATATCGTATCGCGCTTACATACGCATGGGGATTGTGGAAAATTTTCTCACTTATACATAAAGAAAATATCATTCCATTTGAAATTTCTTTACCTTGGATTATGCCAGAAATATTTGAACTTTGCCAAAAGTTCTTTTACTATTTAGTTAGGATGGTTTATACAATATTATGTATAACAATATACTTATGTAACTATATATAATGTAAGTACATAAGAAGTTATATTACGTAACTATCCCGATCAAGATATTTTTTAATCTATACTTTAATAACGAAATCGTTTATATTATTTTATACAAACGAATTTGACAAAATTATGATTTTTATGTTATATAACATTTTCAAATATAACCAAAGTTTCGATATTCTAATATGTTTTTGAAAAAATAATTTCACTAAATTTTTTGAAGAGCGTTTTTCTTAGTGACGACAACAGAATTGGTCCAGTTAAATCGAATTTTGTTAAACCTAACCTAACGTAAATTATAAAGATTTTCAAAAATTTTTCAATTTAATCTTAATATACCGGGAGAGCTTGAACCGAATTTTTATTTTATCTTGTACTTTGCGTGTCAATTTATTAAGAACCGTACTACAGACAATAAGGGAGGTGATGTGATGGCAACAAATTTTGCATATCGAGTTTTCGGTGGTAACGCACTTCTCCATAGTAGGGAAGCGTAAATTAACTATTTTCAGGGAGGTGTCGGTCTGTCGATCTGTCTGCCTGTCTGTGTGTGCACGCGTGTATCTCAAATTCGGCTGAACTGATTTTCATGAAATTTTATACATATATGAGTTTGTTTTGGCTATTTTTGGCTATTCCATTTTCTAGGAGTAAAATATTTAAATTTGGAGTGTTAAAACAATAAACATAGAAATTTTTTGGAAGGATCACAGCTCGGACACCAAACTGGGAGCCGATTTTACATTTTTTACCATATCTACGGAACGAAATTTCTTAAAATTTGATATTTGAGCTCTGGTTGTTACCGAAATTAACTGGCACAATCCGGATGGCACAAAGCGATATTCTACTAAGAGCCAAATTTACATTTTTCTAGGCATGTTAACTTAAAGCTTACTAATGCCCTAAAAATTTTGAGAAATTGTTTTAAAGGTATTTTTATATTCTTCTGTAACATTTTCACTTAACTAGACAATATACATTGCGGTCGATTATGTGTTGACCACATCAGATTTTTTTTTTTTGTTTTTATAACAAGAGAGAATGTCAAGGATATTATAAGGAGCTGTTGTTTGCTTGTTTTTTAATGTTTTACATTAAAATGTATTTGTAATTTAACAACACGCAATGTACGAAAATCGTGTCTTGTTGTACAAAAATTTCAACATAACTTAAATTTAAATGGAATATGAAGTGGATTTAAAAGTAAATAAAGCAATATAAGAATTTTTAGAATTAGTTTATAGTAATATTTTGGTGTAAAGAAGAATTTTATCATTTGAAAGTTTTTAAATAAAGATGTGACTACACTTTATAACAAAAAAGTTATGGTCCGTTATTGTTAGATTTCTTGTGAAAATATAGGTATATACATGTTAATAAATAATTATAGAGCATAGCTAAGTAGAGGCTTTTTAATTAAATCATAGCCAATATTAACAAAAAATATTGAAGCCTTTAATTAAGTTCATTTTAAAACTTTTGCATATTAATATTAAAGATATCGCAGTTATGAAAAAATACCAAATTATTAAATTAAGTGTGTTTAACGAATTTTTCGTATATGGGATTTTACAGCAGCAGTACAAATATTTTCTTTTAGTCTTTAAAATTTTTTTTGAAAATTGTTGGTAAAAACTTTTCTTTTTACTTTTATAAGAACACTCTTACTTTTTAAGTCAGATAAGTTAGAAAACACGTAAAATTTGTTATACAATTTAAATCGCTAATGTGTTTATTTTCTGCATTTTCTGGAAAATAAATATTTTAATTAAGTTTTTGCAATACACCTATGCAAATTGATTGTAGAAGTATTTTTTATTTTGTTTAAATTTTTTTTTAAATATTAAATTTATAAATATTTAATATTAGGTAATTTTTATAAAATACAACAATAATTTTTATATTTACTTCTTCAATTTTTGCCCTATGCTATTTTTTTATCTGAAAGAGAATATCTTTTATCTAAAATTTACTAACATTAAAAATATTTGATAATATCCAACAATAAGGCTCCTCCAAGCTGTTCAAAGGTATCAATGCCATTGTGCATTTCGAAAACTAAAATACGTAATACCTAAAAGTGTTAGCATTTGTTAGATTTTACTATATCGAAATTAATATAGTCTTAACTTCATTCACTGCACGATTATAAAGTTTAAATTCAAAGTTTAAGTGCAAATTAATTACTAGAGTTCACAAAGTAATAACAAATTTATCAATAAGTTCGATAATCTTACATTGTTAAAATATTTTCATTAAAAGTATATAATCCCCTTCAATAATAACCTTATAATAAGTGACTAAATATACTAGGTATTTTTGTATTTGTTTTTGATATTATTTTTCAAAAATTTATTTTGGTGAGAACAAAAACAAGTTTATAACAATGGAGAATTGTGCTCATAAGAAAGTTATTTTTACTTTATATCAAGAGAGGCAGACAAACAGAAATGGTTGAGGGGCTGTTCGCATATTACTCGTACGTTCTGGTGCAAGAATGTGAATCGTATAAGAAATCAGTTTCTTTTAAAAATAATTTTTGTTTTAACGTTTTTTAAGACATATTAAGCAACAGCAAATGACGTACGCTTTTCTTGATAATTCTAATATAGTGTCCAGTAATAATCTAACTTAGATATAATGTAAAATGTTAGAGAACTAGAATATCTAAAAATTCATATGAAAACTTCATTATGCTTTAATTGAGTCTTATATTTTAAATAGCTTACCGTTAGTATGTAGTCGTATTGTCTAACATATCTTTTCTTGCCATTTTATAAAGTAAAAGAGATTAATATACGCACCGCACCTATACATAATTGGAATGATAATATTGTGTAGATATTTTTCATGATATTTCTCAAATAGTGTAATTAAAATACACTTTATTTATTATCAGTCGTTTTTTACACCCTTTTAAAAAATGTTCAGACTTATTCTTATCTTCTAGCCACTCCAATACTTAAAGTTGATCGTGTTTTGTCAGGCTTAATATTCTAGGAATTTTTGTAGTTCTATTTTATTGCTTATTAATTCCTATATTTGAATTATGATGAGCTATAAAAGGTGATTAGTAAAAATTTAAATAGATTTTTCTTTTATCTTGTAGAATTAGAAAATGATTTATTAAGTGTGTATTAACACTATTATATTAAATTGATCGTTCGATGATCCGAAAAAAAAATAATCAATTTGATTAGATAGAAAACTTTAGATTGTTAAAATTAATTGAAAATGTTAATTATATTGAAATATTTTTCACTATAAAATCGAAAATTTTCTAATAGTTGAGAAACAGTGCATTGTTATCGGTGCTCTTGAAAACATAACCAAAATAATGGCTTCCCTATTGATATTTAATTTAGTTGTTTTAATTGCCAGTACGTTGGCAACACCAGTAGGCCAATTTAGCCATGGTATGAACTTTGTTGTTGGTGGTAAAAATGCAGCTCACGGGCAATTCCCACATCAAATTTCACTTCAACTTGGAACTTCACAATTCCATAACTGTGGTGGATCAATTATTCACAAAAATTGGGTATTAACAGCTGCTCATTGCGTAGAGTAAGTTTAAAGATTAATTTCAATTTTATTATTTCACAATTTCTATTGATTTTTTTTTGAAAATTTTAGTTCTTCAAGTCCAGGTTCCTATCTTGTTGTTGCCGGAGATTTACTTTACAAAAATGGTGTACCACATAAAATTGAAAAAATTATTTCACATGAAAAATACGCAAATTTCCAATATGATGTTTCTTTGTTGAAAATCGCTGGTGATGGTTTCGATTTTAGCGATCCATCAAAAATATCAACAATTGAATTATTAAAAGAAGAAGTACCAGTTGGTGCTGAAATTTCTATTTCTGGATGGGGTCAAGATAGTTCCGGTCGCGTACCAGACCACTTACAATATACCGATGCCATGTGGCATGGAGAAGCAAAAGAATGTAGAGATGCATTCGGTAGCATTTTCTTTGACGGAATTTTGTGTTTGAAACATCCAGTTAGCGTTGGAGTTTGTTTCGGTGACAGTGGTGGTCCAGCTCATTATCAAGGTAAATTGGCTGGAGTAGCTAATTTCGTTGTTGGTGGTTGTGGTTCTGGTTATCCAGATGGTTATGCTAAAGTAAGTTATTTCGGTCAATGGATCAATGAACAAACCGGTGAAGAAATTTATTAGACGTTTAAAACAATGTTCAATGTTAAAAATTGAAAAAAATTAAAGTCTCGCATTTTAAATTATAATTTTATAAGTTTTTCTTTTTATACATGAGCTCTGATAATTGAAGTTTATCGTGAAGTTGTTTCTTCAATGAATTATTTGCAAGAAAGTATCATCTGTTCTATGATGAGAGCAAACCCACCAATTTTGTGTAGATTTTTGTGCAAATTGCAGTTTGTTTTAATTTAAAGTTTTTTTTATACATTAATGATACAAATGATTCTGATCCTTGGAAACTATAAATATGTACAAGTTTATTTCTTTCGTAATATGTATTTGGATTAATTTTCATTAAAAAGAAAATTACAGTTTGAAAGTTTTATATTTGATTATGAAAATGCTAGACGTCCTTTGAAGTTTGATTATTAATTTAATTGAACTTTAATAGGATTTTTTATTGAAATTTTTATGTACTACTTCAGCTTCATTGCATGTGCTTGTATTTTATCTTGATGATGCTAGTGTTGGTGACCTTGTTAGCATAGTTCTCCTATTTATTTCAATTTCTGTCCTCCCAAATATTTCAACCAATGAAAATAAATGGGATTGATAAGCTTTAAACTAAAATAAATTTGGAATGTTCCTGTTACCGAGAACCCTGTAATTTTTATTTAACTATCTTTTCGAAAGTTAAGGAAGTTAGTAAGCTTTTAAGTAAATGGTGAAGTAAGGTTAAATAATTTATTCCTTAATAGAGTTTCACTTTGTGCGACTTAAGTTCCCCGAAATTTCTGGTTTCCGATATCAACTAGAATTTAAATATTTTAGCAATGGACAAGTACGTTTCCACCGAAAATTCAACATCCGATAAAAAGCACTTACAAAAATTTATATTTTTTGGAGTACATTAATAAATTACAGTTTTCTTAAAATTTCAACTAAGCCGATGATAAACATTTCTATAATTATTATTAGATTTATTGGAATTTGGGAATATAATTTAGATGGTATATAACAGGACTTCCTAAACTGTGGGTCGCGATCTCCAGGGGGGTCGCGAGACTAAAGGGGGTCAAAAAATTGTTACAAAAGTTTATTTTTTCTATTGAATAAATATATATATATAGTTTTATGTCATTCTATTTATTGTGTTTTATTACGACCGATATCCCATCAACGTTTCCAATTATATATGTATATGTGAAATGAATGGGTACGTATTCTTTAATCCTTATTTTATTTACATTGTAAAATAGTGCGATATTACATCTACATCTACGGTTAACATATATTTCATTATATGGAGGAGGGGGTCGTTTAAAATTTCCTAAGCTTGAAGGGAGTTGCTATATAAAAAAGTTTAAGAAGCCCTAGTATATAGAGAACATCGACGATTATAGGATTTGCGATTTTTATTTTTGCTTTTATTTTCCGTGTATCTCAATGATTTGAATGTCAGAATACACGAAAATTAATAACATTGGCTTAAGAACCTTTATTTATAGCTTTAAAAATCTAGTTCAAAAAGTTTTATAAATGCCTTTAGCGCTTTCATTTTTAGATTCTAATAATATCATTCTGTAAAACATATTCGCTGAAGAACATAAACAATTATACTTCAATCATAAGAAATTACTTAAAACTTTTGTAAACCAAAACTTGAAATACACTTGAGTATAGTTGTAACAAGATTTAGGCTTATTAATTTAAAGCAAATCAAATTTTTTATAGCCTTTTTTTTGTGTAGTGCATAGTCCTTGAGTGTATAAAACAACAATATAGAACAATGCGTGAAAAAATGTTCATTCAATTAAAAAAACAACAACACTGAAGTGCTCTTATAAAAATGTCTTATCTTGTTTTATATATCAAGGACCAAAAAAAACATAAAGAGTAGAAAGGGAAAAAAATTTCTTAAAAAGGGAAAAATGCAATAAAAAAATCTATAATAAGAAAAAGGATCATTATACTGTGCAGAAGAACGTTATTGTTCGTGTTCGTTTACCTTTACACCATTACGGTTTCAGTTTTCTCAACATATCAGACTTCTCATACTTTCTACGTAGAAAGTATAATACAAAAAAAAGCAAGAATATTGAAAATAAATTTACAAAGAATAAAAAGGAAAACAAAAGAAGAAAAGTGAATAAAAATAACGATATTTGACAAGAATTTAAATCGAGAAGCAAAAAAAAAATTTTTCGGGTTGGAGTAAGTGGGTCTCGTTTTCACTTGCATACCTATTTTACCAATCGCAATGCATAGAATAAGCGGGGTTAAGTGATAGCACCAAATTTCGCGTGCCAAGTTTTCAACGGAAATGTTTTTCTTTAAGTAAAGGAAGTGTAAATAAATCTTTTTTAGAGAACATGTTTTTGTATTAGTCTGTCAGTCTATCAATGTGTCTGTGCACTCAATTTCGGTCGAATCGATTTTATTGCAATTTCATTATTCTGAAATTTGATATTTCAAGTGTTTTACACATTAACACAAAAAAAATTTTTGGAAACATCAAGACTCGGAAAATGAATTTTTGCTAGAAATTAATCGATTTTACATCTCTGACTATGTCTAAGGAATTAATCAACAGAATTTATTTAAAATTGATTATTTGAGTTTTGTTTGTAAACGAAACTATCTAAAGAACTTTTCAAAAAATTCTAAACTACTTTAAAGAACCAAATTTACATTTTTCTAAGTGTGTATAACCTAAATGTTACTTTCTTTGTCGGAATTTGAAACAAATATTAAAAGAGCCCTTTCACAATCCGGTGCAACTTTTACGTCGATCTAGTACAAATAAATAAATAAAGATTTCGCTGTGTTATTCGGAAAATACACATTGCGATCGGTTATGTGCTGTCAACCTCAAATGTTTTTTTTTTGTTTTGGTTTATATTACTATGAAAAAATTGCAATTTAAATGGCTACCATGATGGAAATGGGAAAATTTTTATTTAATCATATATTTTTTTCCTGATCTGAAAAGGATTCGATATTTTTTTCTATATAACAACAAAAATTTTGGATATATTGAGGGTTTGATGGCATACTTTAAAAGATAAAGCGTATATGCTTATATATAAAAATTTTGTTTAGAGAAGAAAAGGTACGAAGAAACAGGAAAGATTATTGGTTCTAAAAAAAAATTTATTTATGTACTATGTAAAATAATTTTAATATTTATTACACATACAGACAAATACATACATACTATTTTAGTATGTATAATTTTACAGGTAAAATGCAAATGGTTTATGTATAACATTTACAATGGGTACAACGTTTTATTTCTACTTCTAACTAAAAATTTTAAGTACTCATATACAATATAGTCCTTTTAAGGTCTAATTCAAGTTTTATGTATTTTGAAAGAAAAAATGACGATTTTATAGATTTTGAATTTTTATATGTAAAATCATTTTTGATATAGATAGACCTACTCCGTATATACTTTGGAACGATGAAAATGATGATGAAATATGACAAGGGTAACAATAATTCAGGAAAACAGTTAATCAATGTAATATACGGGTGAATGATTATGTATTTGTGTGTATGTTTTTTTTTAAATATTTTTACTGCCTTTGTAACTTAAAATATTTATGTTTATAAAAAGAATTGAATATATGGGGTTTGTGTTATAAATGTTCTTATATTTAAGTAAAAAAAACGCCCATACCTATTCCGTAAAAAATTATGTTTATACAAACATGTACATATGTGTTATACTTATAATATACTTGTAGCTTTATTTCTTTAAGTCTTTGATTCCCTGTTTTGTTTACCAAAATCATTCAGCTCCCTCTTTCGAACAGAAAAGAAAAAATTGTTGTTTAAATGTCATCACAATTTTTTCAAGTAAAAATATTATTTTCTATTTAAGTGACTAATGTTATATTTTTTGTTGGCTATATAAATTCATTTGATTTCGAATTTATGATTTTAAGGTTGAAGAGGGCCAGTTTGATAAAAAAAAATATCTTCTATTTTCTATATTCGTGATAGATTTTAATTTTTCATATTTTCCTCTATAACATGTTCTCTGGCTGGGTTTGGGGGTGAAAAAAAAACATATTCTTCAATCAACATATTAAATGATATTTGCTTAAACTGGAGTTTTGGATATTGAAAGCGTAAGTTTTTTTCTTATAAATTGTATTTGTTTATATATTTATGTGAATTTATTAGTGTTTAAGTATACTTACTTTTTAGTAAAAAATTGGAAGAAAAGGTAAATTGTGATTATCTAATGTGCTATAGGAAAATATAAGGTATTATGATAAATTATCTTTGGGTCAAATTAACGTGATGAAAAATTATCAACACTTTTTTGTTTTTTTTTTTAGATTGTCTTGCAGTTCTATAACTGGGGTATAATTTTTTAACAAGATTTTTAAATTTTTTTTTGTACTTGCACAGATTGAATTGACTTTTTTTTTCAAAAAAAAAAAAAAAAGACTTAAATTTCGCTTTTTGTAGGCATATTTGCTTTCATATAAACTTAACTATGTCCACAAATTTATTTACATACTGTTACTTACGTAATGCGATATTAATTGATTTGCAATTATTCTAAAAACATTTATAAAACTTAAAGTAGAATACAATTGGTTAGGGTAGAACATAGGTTAGGGCCACCAAGGCCCGTTGTGATGCCGCTGGATACTCCCCTCTTCCTCATTAAAGCCAAGCCCGACTTCCTCAGAAGCCGGTCAAGATCCTTAGCATTTACATTCACTAGGTCCGTAGTGGGTCACCGTTTCCTCTTCATCCTTGTCACAGCAGATCCTACGGAGTTTGTTTGCATACATTCTCATATCTCATTGTAGGGTATTAAACCAGGACTATTGCGTGTTAATGTATCAGATTTTTGAAGAGATTTCAAATATGCTTTCGGAATCAAAGCCGGTGCAATTTCAAAAAAAATTTGGTTGTAAAAACAAAATTAACTAGCTAGATACGTTATAACTTCGAATTAAAGCATATTGAATGTTGACTGTACTTTAAAATCTATAACTCAATAAATTAGCGAGCCGAATGAGTTGAATAAATCATATTGTAAAATATATTATTTAAACTA